CAGGCGCTGTGCTCAAAGCAGAGTGCCGTCTCCCGCAGGTAGTTGCAATTTGCTATTGTCTGCGTGGTCCACGTTGCAGTCGCACGTCGCTTGCCGATTACGGCATCATTGCTTTTGCGGGCGCGAGCCCGAGACCAGGCCGCGGCGACGTTCTCCAAGGGCCTAAGGGCGCGGTCGACGCCGGCAAAGGGTCGCAGAAGCGACTTCTGCGGCATTGCGCCGTCTGGTATGGGATAAGCAGCATTCGGGCTCGATCTTGCATGATTGCCAGTGAATTGTTGCAGACGATATTTGGGCGAAGCGGGGGGAGTCTTCAACTATGATCTTTGATGGATTGTGCATCAGGCAACCCGTCGTTTGCCCGATATTCCCCCGCCCAACTATCTGGAACAACGGGTCGATTCTTAATTGCACGTGGTGCAGTCGCCTGAGCGTCGCGTTTGCGTAGCGTCTGGAGATGGAGACCCGGCCGCTGGCGCTCGTTAGTCGATGGTTCGCCGATTTGCAGTGGTCGCAGGCACGGGGGCCCAGTTCCGCTTGTTTGATTGGCGCGGCGGCCGCGATCCAGCGCGTCGGCGACGAATTTGCTCCCCCGAAGCACGCGGCCACCTTTTGTGCTTGAGTTTGGCCGCGATCTTCTTATTTTTCCATTGCAGTCGAGAGGGCATGTTGGACATCGCTGCCAAGCCATCCCCCTGCGCAGCACTGCCTCGCAGCGTGCCCGCGCGTGGCCGCCGAGGGCGCGCTTGCCGTCGGAACCATCGTTGTTGTCGCGCGCTCGCAAGTCAAGCCGCGTGAGAGATTTTCACGATAGCGTGCATGTTCCCGGCGCGCACGGCGATTGCCGGCGGGTGATCTTCCAGGAGCACGGGCGTGTCGTGCGTCGACCCTGCGAGCCGCGTGCAACGCGAGCGGTGGCCCACCCGCTGTGCGGACGCGCTCGATCCGTCATTCTCCATGCAGCGCGCGACGCGGGGCAGGCCTTCGAGGCTTCGACAGCAGGCGCCACGCGCGAAGAAAATGCGCATCTCTTGAACCCTGTCTCACGGTCACCTAAGGGCAGGCCGTTAAGCGCGTCGGTCGGATGATCGGCCCACGGGGCGTGCCGCGATCGACGGTTTGCCGTCTCCGACGTGATCCACCTCGTGTCTATGGCGTTTCTGGGCACGCGCATGTTCAATGTCGGCCCGCTCGCTTGAACGCATGTGCCCTGCGCCCCGATTGGTGGTCCACCTGGGTCTGCTTTCTTCGAGGTTGCGCTGCGCGCATGCACCGCGGGCGCCGCCATGGCTCGATATACCCACCTTGCCGGAGGGAAATCGCTTCATGCTCCAGGAACACCGCTAATTTGGACCAGATTATGTGTTCAAGGTGCAGCAGTTATTGCAGGCCGTTGCAGACAGATGTTTACGGAAGCGCCTTGAGAATGGATCCAGCCGGTTTTTGCCCAACACGGTTTGCGCGAGCATCGCGCATCCGTCTTTGGTTTCGCATCGCATCTACGTCGGACAGGTTTGCACGTTGGATTGTTGTCCACGTGTCTTCTTTATTCTTTCGTTGGAGCTCTTGATGAACTCAAGATCAATAGAACCCAGCGGCGGGTCTTTCTGCGAGAGTATTCGTGCTCACCATTGTGCCGAATTACTGGGGAGATTGAAGCGTTTTCATATGATCCCTGATTTTGAAATCAATGTCGTGGTGTTGGTGGCTGATGACATGCTGATGTATTTGAGGATTCGCTACGAGCTCCAGGGCATCCAGCGTTTGTGAATCTGGGGCGTTTTAGTTTGCATTGTTTCGATGTGCGCGCTCGGAATTACGTCTTCTCGAGCACCAGCATGATCTCGGGAACAGTTCGCGTGTCAGAGGCTCTGATGACTGAGGTCGTTGTGGCTTGTCAAGCGAACAGTTCTGGATTGATGGGTCTTCGCGTACTTGGCCGCGCCATGATGCGGCCCTATTGCGCGGAAGCCCGCCCTGGCCCTCAAGTTCGTCGAAGTTCCAGCAGAGGATTTCGAGGGACACGCGAGCAGCTGGAGCAGCCATGTGACCAGAGTCCCTGCGTACGACGCGCAGGCGAAGCTAGCTTATGCGACCGATTCGCGACGCTGATTTCCAGCCGTGGGCCACCTGGGGGCCCCCTGTTAGCTGGCGCAGTTGCGCGCCCCGCCCCGCGCCGAAGAGGGCACCTGCGATTGTGATTCCACCTGGGGGGCGGCAGACATGAGGGAGTCAGCGCATAGTCTGCTGCAGCTGTTCTAGGTGGTATAGTTGCCCCCCTCTTGCTCCGCAAAGTGCCGGTGCGAGCCGCAGTTGCAGCGAGGCGCGTTCAAGGATGCATCGCTCGGGCGTCCGCGGCGGGCATTGCAAAAACCTTTGCGTCCGCCATCGGGACCTAAACGCATAGAGAGAGGCACGCCGCTTGCACTGAGCCTCCTCTCGTCCGGTCTCCAAAGCATTCTCTCGGCTCTTGGACTGGATTTCGCAGCCTCGCCGAGGGCGGGCTTTCCATGCCTGTCCAACGAGTGGTAGTCCCTACACGCATGCACGAGGAACGGTTTCCCGATGCCTGTCCGTCGACGCGGGTGGGCACGGCGTCCAACGCGGAGACTGCTTGACACCGCTGGCGTCAAAGGCTGCCGCGCGCGCGACGGCTCTCTGTTTTTTTTCGGGGAGCACACAACGGCATGCCAATAAACATGAGCACTAAGTTGGCCCAGCTTCTTCAGCGCGTTCGCCCTCCCAGCGTGGACAAACAAAGGTCGCCCAGGTTGGAACAAACTTCGGAAAGCTGGCCCAGGTGTCTTAGGTGATGATTTCACGCATCGTATTTTCGGATCGGCACTCGAGGCCCCCTGGCGGCGCCTCCGGCGCCGACCCTGGCGCGCCATGGAGGGGGGTGCAACGCCGATCCGAGAAACTTCCGCGGACCTCCGAGCTTTTTCTGCTTCTGCCACTGTGGCGTCACATAGTTTCGCTGCCTTGCAGGCGGGCCGACGCTCGTGGATGCCTAGCAGACCCCTCGCCGCGAGGGCGGGGTGCCCCAGTGGGGCGCTACCTGGAGCTGGCTGTGGTGTGGCCACCTGTTCGCCCCAGCTTGAACCCTCTGGCGATGCCCGAGGGTCGGGGTGTACCTCCCTAAGCAGGGCCGCGCACCGCAGCAAAGTGAAGGTGTGCGATCGTATGCTGCCTTCGCCCAGCCAGTCACAGGGTAAGGGGCCGCTCAGGGGCGCTCTTGGATCTCAGAGACTTCGCAGCCGCTCCCCGTGCGCCCCCCTGAGCCTTTCCCCTTGCCAAGCATGGGATGGCGTCGGCACTGGGAGGGACAGACAGTAGGAGGCAGGGGGGGGTGAGGGGGGGAGGCGTAGTGAAGCGACTTCGCAAGTCTCCCTCGTCTTCGTGCTATAGGCGCCATCTCTTGGCCCTGTCTCCGATCTGCGCTTGCTGCAGTGCCCCCAGCATTGCAGCTCTCAATGATTACAACTCTGGTGGGTGGGTGGACGACGGAGCGGAGGGTTTGCCAGCAGGATTGCCCATGCAAGTTTTCGTGCCCAGGACAACTCGACTCCATGAGGCACTATCTGTACTGTCCTGTTCTTTGGGCTGAGGTGCATGAGACATGGCACCCAGAAATTCATTCCCTTGGAGCAGTATCTTGATTGTCGTCTAGCTCTCTCTCTCTCTCTCGTGTCCAGTCGGATGAAAAGAGGACTCTTGCTGTGCAGAGAGTTAGAGTTGTGCTGGCATTATATAATACGTAGAATGCGGTGAAGAACCCCACCGCACGCGAGCTGGGTGATACTGTGCCCTGTGCCACTTCAGCCAGAGCGCAGCTAGGACCGCAAATGCCAGAGGATCATGCATAACTATTGGACATCATTCTGGGCTATGCGTGAGGAGGAGGAGGAGGAGGAGCAGGAGGAGTTGGAGGGAGGAAGAGCAGAAGGACGAGGACAAGGAGGAGGAGGAGAAGGAGGATGAAGAGGAAGAAGAGCAGGAGGATCAGGATCAGCGCAAAACCAAGACGCACCGACGATGAAGAAGTAAACCCTTCTTTAAAGCTCCCTCTTCACACGACCCTGCAAACATGCATCTGCATTGCGAGACATGCCACTTTTAAAGACAACTGTCTGATAATTCTGAATCATGCCAAGACACCCTGTCTGGGACTTCAGCGCCGCGACTCAACGTGAGCGCTGCGTCTTGACAGTCCTGAGTCGTGCCAGGACACAACTCCTGGGACTTCAGCGACTCGGAGAAACGTGGATCTTGTGTTCTGACAGCCCTGAAGGATGCAAGAGCGCCGCTCCTGGGATTCCCAACCAGAGATTCCTTGAAACCGTTGCAGACTTTGAAACGAATGTGCGCGGCGCTGTGGCGAGAACCACAATGTGAAAAAGTGAGCAACCCTCCATCCTTCACGGTGTTGCGAATGCTCGAAGGCGCATGTGCGCGGCGCCACGGCGAGAGACACAACTTCAAAAACCGCCCGCCTTCTGTCCGTGAATTCTGTTTCAAACTTGCAACACGTGCATGCGCGGCGCCTAAGCGAGAGCCACCTTTTCAAAAAGACCCAGCCTCCATCCAGGGAGCTATTGCTAAATCGAAGCTGCAGGATCATACATGGTAAGGACTCCCCGGCGACATCCCCGACCCGCCCATCCGACACGTCTGCGGGTGCGACAGGGGGAACTGATGTATAAGAAAAAGCGGATGGAGGAGGAAAAGGAGGAAAAGGAGGAAGCGGAGGAGAGAAGGAGACGGATCAGGCGGAGGCGGAGGCGGAGGCGAAGGCGAATGATGCGGCGGCGCAGGCGGCGGACGCGACGGAGAGCAGGCAGGAGGGGGTGCGGAGGGAGGAGAGGGGGGCGGGCTGGGGGAGGCAGGGGCGGGGGCAGCGGGAGCGGGCGGGGAAGGGCGGGCGCGGCGCGAGCCGGCGGCGCGAGGGGGGCGAGGCGGCGGCGGGAGGGGAGAGGCGCAGGACGGGGAGGACCCGCCAGGTGCGTGCCTGGACCGCAACGGCCTGCGGCCCTGCCGCTACTACATCACGAAGGAGCGCCGCCCCGCCGACGGCCGGTCGGCCGGCCGCGGCCGCGGGCGCCGGTTGCTCGTTGGCTGTCGCTCCACTGCCGCCCCGAATTTTGTCGTCTTTCAGCTCGTCTTCCTCCCTCGAACTCCTCCTCCTCCTCCTCCTCCTCCTCCTCCTCCTCCTCCTCCTCCTCCTCCTCCTCCTCCTCCTCCTCCTCCTCCCCCTCTTCCTTCCCCTCCTCATCCTCCTCTTCCTCCTCTTCCTCCTCCTCATCCTTCTCCTCCTCGTCCTCCTCCTCCTCTTCCTTCTCCTCCTCCTCCTCCTCCTCCTCCTGTTCCTGCTCCTCCTCTTCCTCCGCAACTTGTTTCCTCTGCCTTCTCCTCCTCGACCTCTCCTCCTGTCTCCTCCTCCTCCTTCTCGACCTTCTCCTGTTCGACCTCCTCCTCCTCTTCCTCCTCTTCCGCCTCTTCCTCCTTCTCCTCCTCCTCCTCATCCTCTTCCTCCTCGACCTTTTTCCGTAGCCATTTTGGCTCAAGACCCATGCTTTGGCGGGCTGAGCCCGCATTGGCAAAAACGGATACCGCTAGTCCGCGGCAGCTATCAACCAGTCAGGAGGTCCCTCACTCGAGGGGTTCGCGAGCCTCCAACATCCCTTTCCTTGCTCTCGCGCCATGGCTCCTGCTGGCCCTGGTGAGTGGGAGCGCCGCCCGTGGGTCCAGTCCTCCAGGCCCCGTCGCTGGGGGGGCACTATACCTGAGGGCGGGGTATCGGCAGACAAGTGGGACAAATGGGACAGCCAGCGAGCCAAGCACGAGGAGGAATGGAAGACGGTGGCTGGGCCCAAAGGTGAAATTCTATGCCACCACTGTGGTTGCCGAAAGAACTCAAAAGGATCGATGTGCTGCAAGCATTGTGGCCAAAAGCTCGGTTCTCGACCCCAACCTCTGGAAGACCCTGGGGCCCCCAAGTCGTCGGACGAGATGGGGAAGGGAGCGGGCAAGGGGAAGAAAGGTTATAAAGGCGGCAAGGGAGATCTGGTCGGTGGCAAGGGCACAGGCAACCTCTCCTCGGCACTCCCTCCTGGACCTGTTCCCGAGATTCCTCAGGCCAAGGCTCTCGAACTACAGCGTTTGGCTCGTGAGGCTGGGGACGCTGTGGGGGCCGCGCGCTATGGTGCCCTGGCGCAGAGGGCGGCTCCACCCCCGAAGCCGTCGGGGAGGCAGAGGCTCATTGCCGCAGAGCAGAAGCAGGAGAAGCTCGAGAAGCGCCTCAACAGTGAGTTCGAGAAGCTGGAGCGCTGGCGTCGGGCGACAGAAGAGCTGGCGGTCTCGGTCGGGGCCCTGGCCGACGAGCTGCAGGCCGCCGACGCCGAGGTGGCAGCCGCCCTGGTGGAGCTCCAGAGCCAGCACAGAGGACCACCAGCGACGGAGTCCAGCGGCCTGGCGAGCATCAGCCTGCGCAAGCTCATTGACGGTGAGATGGAGTTGGCCAGCCTTATTTCTTGTGACGATTTCATTGATGTGGAGGCTGTCAAGGGCAGCTACGAGGTGTCCGAAGAGGACCTACGTGAGCTCGAGGAACGCAAGAACGACGTGGCGAAGCAGATGCAAGAGGTGCTGGGATCGGTTTTTCGCCAAGCGCTGGAGAAGGCCAACTCCGCTCAGGACCAGCACAAGGAGCACCTCAAACGTCTTCAAGCAAAGCGACGACGTACCGCTGATGACGGCCCTGGGGAACAAGCAGCAGCCACAGGTGGGATCGAGCCTGGACCAGGGGTATCGCCAAGCCCAGAGACAGCGACGCCGTGCTCACCTGCCGAGGCGACGGTGGATGCGGTGGGCAAGGCTGCCCCACAGGTGGACATTCGCTCTCGCGTCGCTGCTGACAGTGGTGTGCAAGCAGCTAAACGGGCGGGTCTTTAGCAACAGCGTGAGCTCGACACAGGTGGGGGCGACGTGGTCGAGTTCGGCGACTCCCTGTTCCTGGTCATCTCTTGGTGCCGTTCCTGAGAAGGCGGCCGCTAGCGCCCCCGCTCCTGAGAGGAGTAGCCCGAGGGAGCCCGCCTGCCTCGCGGCAGGGGCGGGTCCCAGGCGGGCAGCGGCGCTGGAGGAACGGGCACTGACGACGAAGTCGTTTGCCACGTGCGCATCGTCGAGGCCATCTTCTTCGGTTGAGTGGTCATCGTCGGGGTTGGGTACTCCCTGTGCTGCGGTGTCGCCGTCGGCTCCAGTGTCGGCAACTCCCTGGGCAGCGGTGGCGACGTCGACTTCGCGGGTGGCGTCTACCAGTTTTGTCGGATCGGAGTCCAGGTGCGCCTCGAGCCTGGTCTCCTCAGAGTTAAATTGCGAGGAAGAGTGGCCGCGGGCTTCGGCGACAGGTCAGAGCGCCGAGTACGTGACAGCCAGTCAGATCGCAGCCGTCAAGCCCAACCAGAGCTTGGCGGCCCTCCTGTCCAAACCTTTTGTCGGATGCAGTAAGGAAATCTCAGCGTCAGAACGCGACAGCCAGGTGCTCCTCGAGCCTGGCTGTCTCAGAGTAGATTGTGAGAACCTATCGTGGGAGTCTGGAGTTAGATCGCTAAATCCTGGGGGCAACCGATGCTCGGACGAAGTGCCCACCCAGGTTCAGTCGCCACGTGCTGGGTCTCGAGCCAAGGGAGTCAGTGTTGAGCAACCTCATGGAGAGTCTCAAGCAGCGCTGCAGCAGAAGCAAGTCATCTCATTGTTGGAAGGGCTCCCTCCTGAGGATCGCGGTGCACTAGGTACGTTCAGAGTGGGCACTCTGAATGCGAATACGTGGCCAAGGGCTCGGAATACCATGCCATGGATTGAGAAACAATGCCAGATGCCGCATGTGTTATGCATTCAGGAGACCGTGCTGGACCAGTCGGGGGAAGCAGGGGCCCATCAATGGTCTCGCACTTGCTCTCGGAAGCTGGCGCTGGGTTCTGCCAAGCGCACAGGAGAATCGGCCAGATCTTTCTCAGCAGGAGTTGGCTTGTCTGCGGCCATGGGCATTGGGGTGGCCAAGCTCCAGGTGCCGGAGAGATGGCAGCACCGTGTGGTGATGAGACTCATGACGGTTGGCACGCACTCGTGGATCATCATCGGCTCAATCTACGGCGTCGACTCGATCGGCCCCAAGGGCGAGAACCTGGAGTTGTTGGAGTTCCTTAGCGCCTTCCTGGGGGCGCAGCGTTTCCCGTTCCTGCTGGGAGGCGACTGGAATCTAGAACCCGAGGAGATCATGGAGATAGGCTGGCTGGACCTGGCATCCGCCACCATCTTCGCACCTGGCCTCCCAACCTGCAATGGCAAAGAGTATGACTACTTCATTGGATCCCAGGCCCTGGACGCCTTCCCCATGTCGGTGGAGGCCAAGGTGGACACGCCGATCTCGCCACACTGCTACGTGGAGATCAAGCTTGAGGGCCTCAGGGACGAGCCGTTTGTCTGGGTCGAGGCGCCCCCGCGAGCCTTTCCTCTGGCCGACCAGGAGGCCAAGAGGAAGACCAGGAAGAAGGATATGTGTGCCAAGGAGACCGTACTCACCTCGACCACGGAACCGCCATTGGTACTTGTGCTTGACGAGTGGCATCTGGACGCCCCAGTGAGCTCGGTCGAGGAGGCGGCAGCGAAGTGGTTCCACGCGGCGGAGAAGTACCTGGTGCAGTTGTTCGAGATTCCGTCCTCGGACAGAAGGTTCTATGTTGGCAGGGAGAAGGGCGTGGTACTCAAGAAGAAGAGGCTGGTGGATTGTGCGAAGTCTATTCTTGAGCGCCACGACGAGTCGGACACCAGAGCTTGGCTGAGTGCCCTCAGGCTATGGGATGCCCTATGTGTAGCATCGTCAGCTCCGCCTGGTTCGAAAGCAGGCAGACCAGAGCACTCCGCGAGGTGCGAAAGGCAGCTGCTGTCCCTGAGGCTCCCTGAGGCCATCTCGGACTCCCCCTCCCTGCAGGCAAAGGATGTCCAGAAGTGGGTCGCCTTGGCCAAGAGGGGAGGTCAATTGTCTGCCTGGTTTCGGACTGTGCTTGCGGAGGAGGTTGAGGTGCGCAGGCGCAAGGACTCACAAGCCAGGAGCAAAGCCTGGAGAGAGTTTGGCGAGCTCGCAGCTGATGGCTCTGGCAGAATAGCGCACGCGATTTCTAGGCCCAAGATGTTGGAGGAGGCGCCCACGCTGGCCAAGGGCAAGCCCCATGGTCTGGTGGGAGCTGCGGCGATCACGGCGGTGCTGGAGGAATGGGAAGAGTTGTGGATCTCTGACGACAGGGCCCAGGAGGCAGCGCCGTCTGACTGGAGTTACCCGTGGAAGCTCGACCAGATCTCGGAGGACCAGATCGTTCAGGTCTGCCGCTCCTTTGGTGTGTCTACTGGTCTAGGCTGGGACAACTTTCACATGAGGTTGGTAAGTTTCCTGGATGGGGTGTTTGTGCGGAGGCTACTAGAGATTATATCAATATGGGAGCGCAATCCGCACTGTGAGCGCATGTGGGTCACGATCAATGTATTTCTGCCTAAGCCAGGAGGAGGTGCACGCCCGATAGGGCTCTTGTGCTTCTGGGCACGCATTTGGAGCAGATGCAGGAGGCAGTATGTCAAGAGTTGGGAGGTGTCTGTGGATGCGAAGTTTTTCTGGGGAAAAGACGCCACGACCAGTTGCGACAAGGCGGCGTACGTGCACAACATGCTGGCCTGCTACGCCAGGAGGAAGAGGCTGTCGGCCATAACTGTGTTCTATGACATCCGCAAGTTCTACGAGAATGTCAGTCATCAGCAGCTTCGAGAAGCAGCAGAGCACTACAACTTCGACGGCGCCTTGCTGAAGGCGCTCTGCTGCCTGTATCGAGCACCACGCCGTGCGCGATGGACAGGGGGCACGGGCAGAGTCAGTCATCCGAATGGTACTATCGTGGCTGGCTGCAGTGCGGCAACAGGAGTGGCGAAGCTGATGACCTTGTGCCTCCTCAAGCGCCTGGCGGAGGAGACGCCTCCGTGTCGTGCGCTGAATGTGGTCGATGATTT